CACCCAGTGGCGTAGGTGAGGCTATTTTGTATTAAAATTGAATGTTTTCTTTTCTTGTTTTTGACATTGTACCCCTCTTTTAAAAAATATGACAGATTACTATTTTTATTACAAAAACACAAAATTGTCCAGTTGAATACTTGAACAACTATGAGCAACTACTAGACAGTGGAGCATAGAGGTTTTTAATACAGCGAGAAAAGATCATATGAGAACCAATGAAGATGTGTGAAACCGACATATATACTTAACTTGTACTCTTCTGAGTCCCGCGCTTTCACGGGACATGGCATCAACACTAGAATCCAATCCCGAGGAAACGCTAGGAATGGGATGATGTCTCAATAGCCAATAATAGTCAATAGCCCCATCAGTTATTTGCTTAGGTAAACACAGTTACATCACTTGTGAAAAGCCGATTCTCCAGTTTACCTGGCGTTGGTGTTCCATAAGTATAGTGTTTTCTTTTTTTTTCTTTTCTTTTTTTTTAGTATGCGCGTCTTAGGTTTTAATAAAGGCGGTCACCGTAAAATATTTTGATGGTCCTATTGCGATCGACTTAATACCAATCCCAGCAATAAAGCGTCTCTAACTACGGGCGCTTATATATACAGTCGAAACTTTGTTTCACGAAGTCCCTAAATTCCGAAAAAAATTCGTTATAAGGAAAATTCGTCATATAGAGGTTCATCTTTCAATATACTTTAGAAACCACATAAAACAAATTTAAATTCATAAACACTATATATATATATATATATATATATATATATATATATATATATATATTTAAAAAAGTAATTATTCACACCTTTTCGTAAATTAATATCTATTTATTGATGTGTAACATCTTTCCTCTCGGTTGCTGGATATTTGTTGGGAGTGATTTCGTGAAGTGGGACGGATATGTGTAACAGGATGTGACATAAGCGCGCTTCTTGATTTGACCAATGAGAGTGCGTGGCTGTGTCTTTTCGTTACCCTCGCATGGGGGTCCAACTCTAGTAGCCATCAAACACTCGAGCGCTTGACTCTAAATCCGTTAGTCATGAAATTGGGGGATATAAGTGCGGCAGAATGCTTATTTGAAAATGGGCAAACAGTGGTTTCGGTGGTCGTATACATTTCTTCGAATCAAACGGTTAAAAAAAATTAAAGATTTCCTGCATTTTGTATTTATACCATATAACGAAGGTGGTTCTGTTCTTTTTAAAAAATTATCACTCGCTTCCCCTGATTTTGAGTGGTGATTTTAACTTCAACTTCAGTTTGCCAAAAGCTGAGCCCCTCATAGCTTTAATGAATGATGAACTCAAGTTCGAAATAAACACAAATTAGAATGTTTCGACTGCTAACAGTGGTACTGTTATTGACGCTGTTTTTCAACGATTTTTAAATAATTTGAAATCACAGGTATATGTGTCATATTTTAGTTATCATAAGTCTATTGTATCCGCTCTTCCCCAAATTGAACAAGAGTAATTATTTTTGATAAAATATTGCATTACTCCTTTTGTTAATTAAATACAATTTTCATTAAAGATATAATTATTCGATAGAAAATTATTTCCAATCATACCCGATTTTTTCATACTTTTTCAGGAAAAAAGTTAATATTGCGTATTTATCACGATAACATGTCAGATGTTACACATCATATGCGACTACTGTAAGACTCGTTTTTTTTTCTTTTTTTTTTAATC